CATAGCTGTCAAGGCCATGGCTGGGAGTGTTGAGGGTAGGGAGCTGCAGGCCAGAGCCTGACTCAGGGTCTCCAAGGAGCCGGTGAGGAGCCTGTGACACATGCAGGAGCAGGGATGTCTCAGGCATAGGGAGCTTTCCACTCACAAGGATCTAGCAATTTTCAACCCACTCTATTTCCCAAAGAGACACGCTTACTGTATTTTAAATGTGTATAACTGGGCAGCTTGTCTGGTCCCTTTCCTGAGCAGTACTTCAGGTGGGCAGTGAGGCTGGAGGGGCCCACAGAGGGCAGTCAGCTCAGGGGCCTGGCTCCACAGGGCACGGAATCTTGGGGGTAGGGGTTGCTCTGCCCGACCACCCACCTGCCTGAATAAGCGCGGTGATTAGGCAGCACTGCGGGATGGCGGGGGCACAGGCTTCAGGATCCCAGAGATGAATTCTGCTTAATTATGTTCACGCTGAAGTACTTAGAGAAAAGTATACAGATGTCTGCAATTTACTTTAAAATGCATCAAAAGAATAAAATGGACTGATGGCTGGCAGACGGCCGGGGAGAGATGTCACACAGCAGCGAGTGACGCGCTTCTCGAGGACGTAGGTGGTATAAGCAGGCGTTCATGGTGACATTCCTGCCACTTCTCTGTGTGCCTAAAGGCATTTGTCAGAAGCAGCTGGAAACTCCAGCAGGACTTGGTTTGAATGCTGACCCCCTTTCACTGCTGGTGACACTGGGCCCTAGATAGTACCCACAGGGTACCAGGCTTAGCCTGCTACACCAGGTAGGGACATGCCCATCCTGCTGGGAAGACAGTGTCCAGCACAGTTGGGCCATTTCACTGATGAGCTTCCCAAGGCTGGTCTGAGCATTCAGGGGGCTTCACTCCCTGCAGCTCCCAGATCCAGCCCATTAGAGCCATGAAGGCAGGAGTAATGCACCCTGTCACCACAGTGAGGCAGTGAGGACTGAGGTGCTACTGTGAATACCAGTAATCTCCAGGATGTATGGGGCTGGGGATTTAGCTCAGCGGCAAAAGCGCCTGCCTGGCATGCGCAAGGTCGTGAGTTCGGTTCCCGGTACCGGAGAAAAACCAAAAAAAAAAAGACAAACAAAAAGTCAATAGCCTTCCTATACATGAATAACAAACTCACTGAGAGAGAAATTAGGGAAACAACATCTTTCACAATAGCAACCAAAACAAACAA